AGACAAGAATATGCTGCAGAGCTGAGCCTAAGATCAGCACAGTCTGTTACCTTAATCCTGAAATTATGCTCAAATGTGATGAAGTTTAGCAAAAGCTAAACCCAGGCAAAATGTTAGGTTTTTTAAAATATCACGTTTTTCTACATTTCTTTTTTTTTACAGTTACTGTAAATGTAATCAGTTTTAATGATAAATGTATGTGCAACAGAGAGACAAAATACCTGATCTGGCTTTTTCAGACTGCACCTGTTCATAACTAAATTGCCAATAATGTTTTGAGTGGAGCCAGTATAAATCATGAGCTGAAATCCTTGTTGTATGTAAACAGAAAAATGTGTGAAATCTCAACAGAATGAGTCAAGCATCAAATGCGGAGCTGCAGTCTTTTCACACCCAGCGTACAGATGCTCTTTCTGCTCTTCTTGACAGATCTGAATCTCGCAGCAGCTGTCCTGGCCCTGCTGAGTCTCACCATGATGGTGATGGGCTCCATCTGTATCGCCATGTCTCTCAGCAAAGGGGTGGTCTTCTTCCTCAAACCAGCTTCCTTCTGTTTCATTCTATCAGGTAGGATCCCACTTTTCTCTCCAGAAAAATAAGGAACTGTCTTTTTGTTTTCTGTATTGTAATTTTAATAATTCACAGCTGTTTGTCAGACTTTAAGGCATAGTTCAGAGCTTTTAAAATGGGGTTCCACTGAGATGTTATTAAGAGTTAATATCCAACCTGTTAAAGATGCTTCTTTAAAGAATCTGTTTGGAAAGAAAAAGTTTATCTGACCCAATCGATGAGCAATGCCAAGAATAAAGTAGATTTCTGCTGACTCACAACTCCAATCAATGCAAACAACATTTACACATTTTTACATGGTTTTCATTTCAACATCACACAGCTATTCTGACAAAAAAATGACAACATTTGTGCTGGGAATGTCTAAGGCTGCACCGAAACATTTATCCCAAGTATATTATCTTGAGTTCTTTGGCTACTTGTGCTTGGAAATAGAAATCATAGAAATCAATGCAAATAACTGTAATTAAAAATGACAATGTAAAGGTTTAAAGATTAACTATTACATGAACTGCTATAAAGTTTTACAGCATAAAGTTGTTCTTAACTTGTCACATAAGCTTACTTTAAATGATTTAAACTGTTGTTATTAGAAAGCAAAACATCTAAAAGCTCAGGGGATAGCAGTACATAAATCTACCTGGTACATGGCTATTTACCTGGTTTTTATCAAGGACTGAATACGTACCATGTGTTTTGTTGGTACTTAACAAATATGTACTGGTGTATACAAGGTACTTACCAAATACGCTTTGGGTACTTAATGGATACTTACAGGTTACTTAGGGTACTTATCTAGTATGCACTGGCTACTTACCTGGCATATACATGGTACATAGTAGGTATTTTTTGTGTATGTACTTTGCTAAATACCTGCTATATACAAGGTACATAGCAGGTACTTACTGTGTATGTACTTGGGTACTTACCTGGTATGTACAGGACACTTAACGGGTACTTACCAGTTACTTACCTAGTATGTACAGGATACATATCAGGTACTTACAGGCCACTTACCTGTTGTTATATACAATGTGCATAATAGGTACTTACTGTGTATGTACTTGGGTACTTACCTGGCATGTACAAGGAACATATCAAATATTTATTATGTATGGACATTGCTACTTATGTAGTATATACTGTATATATCTTTCCTGTCCCTCAACCAGCCACTCGAGGCAGATGGCCACCTGTCCTGAGCCTGGTTCTACTGGAGGTTTCTTCCTGATTAGCAGGGGTTTTTTCCTCTCTACCGTTTGCTCAGGATGGGACACGGTGATGAAGTGATTCAATGCAGCCTGCTGGTTTTTCTTTAGATTGTTCTTTTTATGTGCAGTGGCTTGAGACAACGTATGTTGTGACTTGGCGCTATATAAATAAACTGAACTTGAACTTGTATATATGAGTTACATAGGTAGGTACTTACCTAGTTTATACAGGCTACTTACCTGTTGTGTACAAGGCACATACCAGGTACCTAGTGTATATACTGATTATGTAGCGGGTCATTTACATTTCAGGTATGTGGGTTTTTCCTGGTACTGAGCTGTAATATATACTGCTATTGCTCTAGGGAATTCTAGAAGTCGGTGTCACTTAAATAAAATGTTTGAAATAGTCCAGCCTACAAGCTTTAACATCCTCTAATTCTTTCCTTTTCTATTCAGGAGTTCTGGTCCTTCTATCAGTTCTGATTTTCCACCAGTCAGTTTTGGCGCTGCTGTCCAGTGACCACTCCATTCCTCTTCACCACGAGCTGTCTTGGTCCGTGGCCTGCGTCGGCTCGGCGGGAGCCATTCTCATTTTCGGAGGTTTCCTTTTCATCATCCTTGCTCTTCCTTTTAGCCCCTGGCAGAAATGTTTGCCACACAAGAATAACACCACTTAGTTCTTGAAAGCAGTCACATGAGCAAAGTATTCTTAAGGTTTGAGAGCAAGTGTAAACCAATTTCCCACAGCTGTGTGACTTTGAGCTTGCTCTTGGCATCTAATTTGCTATAAAAAGTCACACCAGGTCTTAATTACAAATACAAAAAATGAGCCAGCAGCACAGACAGAACATAGTAAAGCCTCTAAGTAGAGTTCACAACAAATTTTTAACATTATTTTTAGTAGTTGGATGCACAGAGCTGATGAATATTTTAAAATTAAAGTTGTTTTCATTAGAAAATAGTGTCACAAATAGTCTTGTTTGCAAACCAGCAGCTGCAAATGAATTTATTTTTACTAACACTTTTCTACTTAATTTTTTTACAGTCAGTTTTCTATGAAACTCTAACTGCATCAACCAGTAAAAGTACAACATAAATGGTTAAAGCCCTGGAATATTCAAGTCCTTACGCAGATCCATATGTGTAAAATGTTCAAACTGGTTTATTTAGATTTTACTGTGACAGTTCCCCAGTTTAAAGGTGAAACAGTGACTTATTGAGACCATGTGTGAACAGAGCAAATTATTGTCCAAAGGTTTAAACATAAGCAAGTCTGTGTGCTGGTGATTTTTTGTAACATTTTACTTTTGTTCTGCTTTTTCTGCTCCTTTGTTGACCCTGTGAATATTCACCCATTCATTTCTTTTACGTGCTTTTCCTCTCGGGGTCACTGAGGGAGCTGGTGTCTGAGTCCAGTGGTCACAGGTGGGGACACCCTGGACCACAGAGACATGTGAGACAACCACTCACGTCTGGGGATAATTTAAAGTTACCAGTTAAACTAAAATGTATTTTTTTTCTTTCTCTGTGGGAGGAAAACCCACATGTGCATAGGGAGAACATGTAAACTCCACACAGGAACCTGTGATCTTCATGCTGTGAAGCAACAACTCTAACCACTATGCACCAGAAATCAAGACAGTGTAGTTTTCTAATCATTTTTTTCATGATTATTGTGTCCTGGTCAGCTTGTTCTTATCCAAGGACATCAAAATTCTGTTGTGTCATCACAACCCACTGCTGTCTTTTGAAGCACCAACACTAATTAATAAGGCTTAACTATCAAAACAGGAAGTTGGAAAGTACACTCAGTAAATTTTGAGTGTGTTGATTTTAGTTCAATAACCTGATGCTAAAGGATCCGAGCTGATTGTAGCTCACAGCATCACAGGAGGGCCTGCAGGATGTCAACATTTCTCGGTGTCTTCAAATCACTGCTGCAGACGTTTTATGGGATAACGCCATGATTACTTTTGCTTGTTCTTTCGGCTGCTCCCTTCTGCAGGGGTCGCCACAACAAACAAACTCGTATAAAAGATTCAGCATTGCTCCACACCAGACTATAAACTTCCTGATTCAACCTCGGCTCAAACTGTCAGCCTCAGGATTATGAGACCGCGCCACTGACCACTGAGCTACCATTCAGTGCTTTTCTTTAAAGTTTTGTTTGTCACTGCTAATTCCTCACATGTATTTCTCTGCTGCTGGGTGACTGCAGCCTCAGACTGTCAGGTAAACAGAATAAAATGCAAACAGTACATCTGAGGACTGAACAAAAACACTTTATAAGCTCAGCTATGTATATAAATTAAGTATGCTTGTGTTTTAGGACTGTATACTGCTTGTAGTAATCAGTGACTTCATTTGCAGCACATATTTATAAATGTATTTTACTTCATTTTTGTCCAAAGCATCTCATCTTCTCTGTCTGGCAGTAAAAGCTTTTTTTGTTATACATAACTGTGATGTTTTCCTCATGTGTGTGCAGTCTGTGTCATCTCTTTTGCCTATTATTAAACTGATTTGACATGAAATAACCGTCTCTGTCTCTTTTTCTGTGTGCTGGCATGGCATTATGTCTGCCCTACAATATGACATTCATTCATTTTCACCCCAACACTTTGTGGCTCCTAATGTCTCAGACCAAACATCCTGTTCGTCCCCAGGAAATAAACAACAACAACAGCTCCCCTATAATTAGGCCAGAGCTCATTGCGATGCGTTTCACTGCAGAGGTTGGGAAACCTTACACTTGAATTTTAACCATGTGCCCCCCAGCCTGTGCTCATACCTCTGCACCCTCTCCAACCCTGACCTCGATGTGTCATTTTCCCTGCAGACTCCAGGAGAGGCCACTGCTGGGTCGCTGTCCCACCCCTCCTCCAGCATTCCATCAACATTTTCAACACACACACACACACACACACACACACACACACACACACACACACACACACACGTTTGTTCTTCTATCCTCATGAGGACTTTGCATTGACTTCCTTTCATTTACTGGTCATTTCTACAGCCTAACCCTGGCCCCTTACTTGGCCACCAGGTAACAAAAACATTATCTCTCACACACACACTGATCATCTCAAAAATATCTGAGTTTAATCTGACAGCCAGCTCACTAGAGAATACACGGCATCTAGACTCTCACAGTCTCACCTGAGCCCCATGCACATACTCACATGCTTTTAAATCCAAGTGGACTGAAACAGAATCTCGGCGTCACACGATCCTGGATGGATAAACAGCTGTAATAGTTTTTAAAGTGGCTGTGTGACAACTTGTGCCCTGGGCTGCACTGTTTGCAGACAGGAAAAATCTTTCAAAAATTCTTGATGAGGGACCACCACACTGAAGAGACAAATACAAAATAATGAAAAAAAAATCAACTGATTTGCTGCTGGTATGTTAACGACTATTTGAAGGTAATACTACTATAATATACATTTACTATATAAATGTATATTATATTTGGAACAAGTATTAACTAGATAGGAAACAGGTTTTTTAGTGGTTAGGGTTTGGATAACTGACTTTTCAAATACATAATTTTGTGTTTGGTTTTGGCCTCTAAATAAAGCAATTTAATAAAAATAACTTGGTATAATATGTTTTTGCTGTCGTATAGGTCCTCATGTTTAAATATGCCCTTTTTAACGATGATATGGCACAATTAAGAATTTATTTTGTGGACCGACAATCTATGGTTCACGTACCCAGTTTGAGAAACCCTGGTTCAAAGGACCTTTCCAAATTCCAAGCCTTTTTTGTCATAGCTACAGTCCAAACAGAATGCATTGCCACACATGCTACTTCTTGCACTAACAAATCTTTCTTTGAATCAGTTTGTTTACCTCAGAAGTCCAACCTTGGGTCAGAAAATGTTGCTTCACCAAACTTTGTCCTGCTGCAAGACATAAAATAAGTTGAATTTATTTTCTGTGGTGTTACAGGTCTAGAACAACAGTCTATTACGATCTTAAGTGTGACTGATTTAATGATACACAAATGAACAGGAGGACATATAAATAGTTTATCCCTACAGCTGTCACCAGCTTTCATGGGTGAGGCAACCATGTTGGATTTTAAGGTTAAGAAACCTCAAATTTTCCAGGATTTCAGAAGGCATTCCAGTTGATTCTATTTGATGCTGAAATGCAGATTTTTGTTTTATTCAAATGGAAGGTTTTAGTTTACATGCATGGCCAGATTGGCCAGACGGGGATTTTAAATCTGCTCCAAACTTGGCCAATGAATCAATCAGCTGGATTCTAGTTGCAATGTTAAATCTTTCACCACAGCTTTACAGTGGCTGCAGCCAGATTAGAGAAGCATGATAACAGCAGGCAAAGGCACTCAAACTAATCCTCCCAATCCATGAGAACGTCTAGGAATCTCAGGCCTCTTGTCAAAGATGTGACAATTCTTTTCTCCTTCCTGTGGCATCATCCCATCTGTTCTCTGGCCTCCTGCCAGCGACTCGTCCTCTGATGTCAAACTAAACCAACAAGGCTGACCAAAACAAACCTTGAGAGCAATTTGCAACTTTATGCACAAAAACATGTGCAGCATACCAGATGGTTCCATCAGGACTAGAAAGGTCCAGTGCTTAAGTAGGTGTCACCTGAAAGTACTGAATTAACTTTGAGATGATTTTCTCATTATCCTCTCTGCAGAATTACTCTCATCATGTTCGCTTAAAGAGCTGCAGATTTGACAGCGAAGGGCAAAGTTACTCCACACAAGAAGCTGAGCTCGGAGACCGTGAACTGGAGTTTCTGCAGGACTTACACCACAAACCAAACAGCTTATGATGTTCTTCAAATTACTTAAGGAGACAAAACAGCATCGTTTTAAGCTTAAATATCAGTTTAAAGGCTTCAAAAATATCATAATTCTGTCTTATTCTAAATCTAGATTTCAGCCCAGAGAAAGTAAAATCAAGAACTTCTCATAAGACTGTGATAAAACAGTCCTGTTGTTTCAAACACTGCACAAAAAATAAACCAACGAGCAGAAAATAAAAAAACACTGAATGAGAATGTATACATTACTCATTCATAAAAACTTACACCAAAGCTATAAAATTAACTAAAATGTATTTTTTGTTCATGCCAATTGTTTAAATGGATTTAATTAAATATAGAACAAAGACAACAACTTAACTGAATATTACACACAAGAAATGTATTATGTTAATTTAATCTCAGTAATCTGCATCAGTATTGATGTTTTACATTGTTGGAAATAAGATGTTGGTAAAGTTTTAAAATCTTTTTTCTTGTTTTGCCAGGACATTGTAATATTACACAATCTGGAAATATCTGGCTTAAATAAAATAAAAAACTTCACCCTTACATACATATTATGCATATTATTTTGTGCATATTATAGCATTACTTATATTTTTACAGATGTGGAAGTTGTTTGTATTATAAGCACTAATCTAAAGCAAAGTTTCCACTTTTGGCGTAAATCAGCTCAGGATCAGAGGTTTTCTCTTTTTTTTTCCCACAGTGACGATAATAATAAAATGTTTGTATTTTTACTAATATTTAAATTGATGCTTTTGTTTAAAGAGACTTCAGGAGTTTAAATCTTGCAAAAACCTTGAGTGGGCTTGTGCGTCTCACAAGAATTAAAAAGTCTCCACATAAAAGTAGGAAAAGACAGAAACCCATGGAAATGTTTGTTACAATTTTTTATAAACTTCGTGCAATACAGTGTTTATCACACATTTAGATAAACCATAATCATCTTTTTGTCTAGATAGGTCTATTCTCAACTACATACTATTTATATTGCCCACATAAATGCTGTCTGTGTGCAGTTTAGTCACATCTGTTCTTTTTCTGAAATGAAATAATAATAATAAAAAAGTTTAAAGAACCTGGAAGCATCTGATAATTATGTGGTTTCTTCACTTTTATCATGTAGCAGGTTTAGACCTGGGTCTGCAGTCACTCAGGACTAGAAGAAGAAGAGTTAGGACTGAGAAGGAGGTGGGTTTACATTCGCTTCAACAGAACCGGGTCGCACTCAGGAGTCAGCTGGTACAGGGAAGCACAGTGGAGAAAATCTTTGGGGAAAATAAAGGTCTGTCTGATAAAGTGGCGGTGGAATAAGGTGGAGGAGAGTGGAAGGGGGCTGGTCATGTGATCAAATATGAAGGGGAAGTTTGGAAACAAATCAGCAGGAGTCCAGTGATTCGAACCACTCCAACTCAACTGTCCCAGCTCAAATGCACAAACAATGGTTCAAAAAAAATACAATGTACATGTAGCTTTTCAAAAAGTATTTTTCTGTCATCTTTTTCTAAACCCACAGACATTTGTTTCTCTTTTTTCTTTTTTTCCCATTTTTTTGCAAGTGGAAATGGTTTGCATGTGTCACTTTGGGACTTTTCATAAAAAAAACTTGATTTTGTTTTTTTTTCCCTCCTCAGGAAGCAATCCCCATCTGATTCTGTACAAACATGTTATTTAGAGTCCCTTTTTTCTGATACCCCCCACCACCACCTTCCCTCTGTTCAGAGGTTTCTGCTAATGCCCCAAGAAAAAACATCTTCAACACAATAAAGCTACAAGTACTACTGGTAACAATAATCAGGATGGAAGTAAGACTAACGGAGGCCCGTGGGAAAAACCTGGACCAGTACGAACAAATGACGTCTGTGAGTTGTCTCAGTCACTCACGTTACTGTTGCATTTCTTTTAAATTCAGTTATTGGAAGACAATTTACATTATTCACATCTGACTTCATTTTGCAAATGAAAGTTTTAGAATGTGGGGACTAAAATAAAATGACTCATTCTCCCACGTTTGGTATCCACACACATGCGTGCACACACACACACACACACACACACACACACACACACACACACAC